ACAAAATATGACAGATCTAATCTAGAATAAATGGATTCTATTTTCAAAATCTTGACATTTCCAAAAGAGAAAAATGGGATTAAGGGACAAGGTAATATTTAATTCATAGCATGTAATAGCTTGTTCTTTTTTTGTTATTCAAAAGCAAAGGTAAATTCTCCAATCTGAATCGGGATTCCACATCGGATGGTATCAATCCTCTGTTTTGCTGTAATTCTGATTCATTCTTGATTTTGAATTATTCGGGGGGGGGGGAATCCCTGTCAAACTACTTCTAAATAGTTACATGATATTACTTAATAAAAAAAAGAGTGTTACTTTCAATTGATTTTAATATGTTGGAGTGTTGGTTAAACAAGTGAAAATCCTGTTAAAGCTTAAAGTTTCCTACCATACAATGAATCTCATTGAAACTAGTGCTCACTATATCTATCTATTGGAACAAACATTCCTAGGATTTTCATCTGACTAGAAATTTCTTGGAGTTGCAGTGTTAACATACCTCCAGGACATTAAGTTGAGGAAAACTAAATTACTTCTTGTGTTCATTTTTCAAGGTATAAAGATGCTTTGTAAAGTAGATGCTACAATATCAGATGAAGATATCTGGATGTCTGCAGTAATACTACTTAAAGATGGAAATAATTGATGCTATAGCACTAGAATGAGAAAATACATGTAGGACTTTGATTTTGAAAGGGTAAAATACAGGCGTTGGACCAATAAATCTTTTTATACTTGTTTAAAATATTATTTGAAAGTAAATTATTTCATTGTGGAATGATCAATCCTGAATAAGCATTACAATGAAATGAAATCAGATTATTTTGGTAAAAATACAAATTCTAGAATGTTTTCTGTGACATATTGTGTTCTACTAAACTGATTTCTTTATTTAGACTTTTTATTTAAATATCTCTCAATATGGCTTGGTGCCAAGATATTTGGACAACTGCCTTCTTCAACCAATGTTGACTTGTCTGAGAAGCTACTTGTAGTTCCTTTAAGTATTAAGATTTGTAATCCTGCCTTTATTATTTCTATGTAAGTAATTCAAGGTAGTGAGCATACTTAATATTCCTTTCTTCTCTTCCTTTCCCCACAGCAAAAAAACAATTGGATTTGGATGTGAGAGAGTGACTAGCCCAGTTACACAGTCAGCTTTCATGGGACTAGAACTCAGAGCCTCGTTATTTCTAGCCTGGTGTCTTAACCACTAGTTAAGTTAATGTGGTAGAGCCGTGATGGCGAACCTATGGCACGTGTGCCCAAAGTGGCATATGAAGCCTTGCCTGTTTGTCTTCCAGGTGTGTGCACGACAGCTGTCCTTTGGGTGCATGGCAGTGTCGAAAACCGGTGTGCGCAAGCACGCTGGCTAGCTGATTGTCAGGTGCGCATGCGCATGCATGCCAGAACCTGGAAGTTCTGCTTTTCTGGAGCATGGTCCTGACAAGCATACATGATGTTTCCCTGTGAACGTTTTGGCACTCAAAGCCAAAAAGGTTTGTCATCACTGTGATAGAGGCTCAAAGGTTTTGCTTTTCAAACTTTAGCACTCTTTTTATGGACTCCCTCCAGAAATTAGACTAGCCTTTCTTCTGTAATTTTAACAACTCTAAAAAAAAAGTTTTCTGGAAGTTGGTACAAATAATGCCCTTCTGGAAACTGCTCTGGGATAGTTTGGGATGATATTGTCTTGTTTTAATTGCTATGACTTACAGTTTTCTTATTGGGGGCATTTAAATATTATATCGTTGGTGGATGTTTTATTGCTGTTAATTGCAGAAAGTCCTTGCAGATTCTGGCTGTATTACAAATGTAATAAAGGAAAGACTAACAAATATATTCCATTTTTGGAATGTGCCTATCGAACAGATGCAATAAGTATGGACTGTTTTAAAGCAATGAATTTGTTTTAAATTTCAATATTAAGAGGGAAAGTTAATGTATTGATTTACTGGGAATTAGACTATTTTTGTCACTTCAAGTATCTGCATCTTTAGTAACAAGATGCAGTAACAGTCCTTAATTATACTCACAAATCTTATTGCTTTGTCTAAAAGATGGTCTTTTACCTTGATTTGTGAGTAGTTCAGGATGTTACATGTCTAAACAATAGGATTTAAACTCACAGTAAGCCATGAGAAATATCCACTTCTAAACCCAGAATGTACCCTGAATTTATAATAAAGGAATAGGGAAATGACATCACTACTTATATTATTGAGCAATTAATTGATCACTCTAAAGTCCATGCATCTATTCTTCAAAGGAAATTATAAACTACTCTGATTTCAAGATATTAAAACATGTATCACAAGTATTTTAGTGACCCATGCTTAATTAATCATTTAAAATAAGTGATTTTTTAAATTGTCTTTTGAAAATAAGACAAACATAAACTAACATACTTCGAACATGCATTCATTGCCTCTCTTGTTATTTCAATAGCTAAAGAAGCTAAACATAGCTTCACAAAGTAACGTAAAGCAACGTGGTCATCACATATAGAAGTTATATCACACACATTAATTATTAGACAGAATGATCAAGATGGTTTCTATTAATTATTTATTAATTAAACAGTGTTTCAGAACCCATGAGGGAACAATTTTTTTTCCTTTATTTGAAGTGTGTTTTCTTCTTTTTTTTACATGTTGGAACAAACTTAGGTAAATTTTTCTGTAGCCCACCAAATATCTCAGATTAAAATATATCATTGGAAAATAGGCCCTTTTGGAAATGAGTGTTTGTTTAAAAACTCAATTAAGTATTATCCTCCCCCCCCTAGGAATTACATTAGCAGACATAAATCTTATTTACTTCATTTAATAATGTAACATAAGCTGAATGATCAGCCATATTCTCTAAAAAGACAGAATATCATTTAATAATTGTAATTAATAATTATTAATGAAATCAAGATTCACTAGAATTTTGAATTGCGACTTAGGTTTTGTTTTCTTTTAAAAAAAACCACCAGTATTTGGGATAGGGGGAGAAGTGGATTAATTCACTTTGCCTACCACAAATTCTTCACAATGTAATATATATAGTATATACTTTCCTCAATGCAGCTAGTAAGTTTCAGAAGAATGACATATAATAAACACCCAAATCCCACTCAACATCCTTCAGGAAAATGAAGAATTAAGGGATTAAATAACATATCACAAATATTTTGTCCCTGGATGAGAATTCCATCTTCCTGAAAATTATCTGATCTTTTAACTGTGCCACTGTGTTTGTTTGAATATATTTATGGTATCAAGTGTCAAATCCTGAGTAATCGTACCACAAAAATGTTGTGTTATGGCTGAAGTAATAAGGAAAAATTATTACCAATTTTGTTGTATTTAAGTACAATGAAAATAAAGATTATACTTACTTAATTATTTGATTTCTTTCTGTACACTGCTGAGAATTCCACTTTGTGACCTCCAGTCTTATATAATCAGTGTCTGAAATTGGGTTTTCTCCCTACCCCTGGAGCTGCTTTTATAAATGAAAAGATTGCCTTTCTACCCCTGAAGGTTCTTTACATCTAAAAAGAAATCTTTGCTTCTTGCTTAATTTAGAGTAGACAGGAAGGGTGAAACTGATTAGAAATAGCCAGGAGTAAGTTTGTCTAGATATAAACTAATAAGGACAGGTCAACAGGTAACTACCCAGGAAGCACAACATATCATGAAAGATTGGAAATAATGGGCCTAATGTCATCAATTTTCACCAGCGTAAATACATCCTTTTCTAATACTTCTATATCTCCCAACAACTGAACTCTCCGAGTAACTCAGGATGATCTTCAGCCAACACATGTGTAGACTTTAAACCCAAGCATATACTAAGGTAGAATCTTGTCCACCCCAAAGATAAAGCACCTAGATACAAACTGAGCAATGTGATACGTATATGCAGTGAGACATGTGCAGATCTTTACATTGGGGAAACAAAACAACCACTTCATAAACACATGGCTCAACATAGAAGAACAAACCCATCAGGGCTAGATTCAGCAGTCCATCTTCATTTAAAAGTCAAAGTCTTGTTTTGAAGACAGAAAAGTCCATATTTTGGACAGAGATAATCGCTGGTTTGAAAGAGGGGTCAAAGAGGCCATCTATGTCAAAATTGAACAGCCCTCTCTCAACAGAGTGGAAGGGGTACGACATCATCTATCTCCAGTCTACAACACAGTCATTTCAGCAGTTCCAAGAAGGCTCCACACCATTTACACTATTCAGGTGACCCTGAGGATACAGATAAATTTCAAAGTGGCCTCAATGATTCTATAAAAGATGCAAATGACCAGCTGTATCATCATTCCCATCATCCGGTCAGAGCTGAAGAAGCTTTTTGGATGAGAAGCAAAACGTCTTAAAAGATAAAAAAGAAAGGCCAGTTGCCTCTTGAAAAAGCACCTTTGGGACAACCATGACCTGGATGACTGAGAACCTCCATAGACATCTCCCTGACAATTATTGTATGTTAACCCAAACCAGTTGGATATATTTTGCCTCTGTTCCAGAAAATAGCAACAATTGAAAGATCTAAAAGCAACTCCGCAAGAATTCCTATTATTAAATTCTTGTTTTCTATTGTTCTCTACTCTTCTTCTTCTGCAATTTGAAACCTAACAATTGTCTCAAAAAAGTGTGTGATCTTTCTCCTTAGGGTTATGCTTCTTCTTCTTTTTGCCTTCCCTGACAGTAGGTTAGTCATAGATATGGAATTGTATCCCTGAGATTTTGCTAAACAGCAAATCTCACTTGCCCCTCTTTCATGACCAAAGGTAGCGAACTTGGGGAATAGTCATTCAACAATATTTGGAAGTACAGGGTTTCTATGCTTTTGAAGTAAATTAATTATATAATCGTTGGGAAGGCTTTTTAAAACAGATTACACAATTAAATAAACTTCTTTGTAGTGATCATGTTGCTTATTGTTTGCAAATAGAATACATAGATAACACACACATATAGTTTATAAAATACTCTTACCCTCCCAACTTCCACGAGATTTGTCACCATGACTATACTTGCTGTGTTTTCATGCCAAACCATTCTCCAGAAATCATATATAGTCTCTTGCATTGGTCCTGCAACAAATGAATCCAAAGATCATTTTCAGCATACCTGAAAAGTGGAACACTATACTTTCATAATATTAGGAATGTATTTTTCTAAAACACCGAAACTGATAAAGTAGCTTTCTGCAGGCATTGGAAACCTCCAGTTTTCCATGTGGACCACCGGCTTCTTTCTTCAAACGCTGTCTGTCCTTCCAAGATAGCAAAAAGCCTTTTTCACTAATCAGCAAGAAATTAGATATAAGAGCTTTTTCCTTTCCTGCACTGCAATCAAATCTTCAAAAGCCCTCTTTGGTGCCAATGGAGTCTAATTGGCACATGGAGGGATATTTTTGAGAGCTGTTGCTCGAAGAATCAGCTAATCATCCCTTCTCTAAACATTATAACTCCCCATTGAAAAGTCATCTCATTGATTCCGCAATCACATTTTTAAAGCCTCATTTGGTCCTAGTGAAGGCTTTTAAAGAGGTGTGCTTTGGATGGGGGAAAGAGCCTGCTACATATAGTCTCTCCATGTGTATTTTCTGCCTAAAAAATCAATGCACATGTGTGTGAATAAAGATTTGAATGTAGAATAGAGGGCTATATGTGAATGGCTGTAGATATTCGCCTTGGGAGGCCATATCGGGTGGCACTTCTGTTCACTCAGATAATCTCAACCTGCTTACCCAGAGCAAATTCAATTACACTAACTTTGAGGATAGAAAAGAAATGCAGCTGATTAATTTAGGATGCTATATGTTTAATAAGCCTCTGTTGTCATTTGGTTTTATGCACTCTTTATTCTTAATAGGAAGAGTTGGCTACTGAGGTTATTTTCTCTAATTAACAAGGCTACGAGGATAAAAGAAAAAGTATTCCCTCCATCTTTCAAGGCAAAACTTTATAATGACATTCTTTCTCTCAATGGAAATATATTAAAGAACATGATAGCATTTTATGAACTAAAATTTGTAAAATAAACCGATTCCAGCTATTTAAAGGCAGATGAGAACATCCCGGCCTTTAAAGATCTAATTAAAAACAGTCATGGAGTCACATAAGGATTGTGTGGAAAAGCCTGGAGCCTCCCCTGGCTTATCATTGCTACATTCTAACCTAATGGAATAGTATTCTTGTGGCTGACCTTGGAAATAACACACCTCAGAAATGTATAGGACAAATGGCATCATCACAAATTATTTAGAGCTCAGAAGCATTCTGAGCATTCTAAACTGGGCCTAGAAATGCTCTGGCAACCGATGTACGATTGTTGTTATAATTCCTAATTGCCTAAACTCTGCCAATAATTGAATACTTTTGTCCTGCAGCAGCTTCCTAACTGTCTTTAAAGGCAGCCCACCTAATGCATGTTATAATAAACTAGCCTGAATCGAAGCACCCTGAAATGATGTAGCAAGAATGTTGATTTCGCCAATCATTCTCTATTCTAATTCTTGGGGCAGAAACGCCAGGCTGTTTCTGCCCCCAGATCAGACCAGAAGCCAGATTGGAATGGATCCAAAAATTCAGTATCATTTCATATCTCCTGGGGTTCAGAGCTAATTTTCTCCAGTATCTTAGTCGAGAAAGATGCACAACATACTGGATAATATTTATCCATAATTTAGAATTCTATATTTTAAGCAAATGTTTAACTACAGCTTCCTTAAATGTGGTGGGAACTTACTGTCCCTGATTAACCATCTCTAAGGGCCAGATGGTATGCTTAGCCTGGAAGATTTTTAATTACTTGGAAGGGTATGGTTCCAAAGATTTTAACTAATTTATCCACATCATCAGGCTCACATGAGGAAATAAGTTTTTGACACCAGAAAATTTTCAACTGATTGTATTTCCAGTTTTAATATTTCTCTTGAGTTTGCACTGTTGATCTAATTAGTCCAATTCCCAAATTGCTCTTTCTAAAAGTGACAGATTTTTGGAGACAGTTTATTATTTTAATAACTATAGAGAAAATTGCTTAAATGCCAGGCTTGACAATTTTATTTGCAGTTCATCTTAATGAGGGAAGTGAGCTGGGGAGAAATAGTACCTCTGGCAGTACCCTGTTATTTTGGTGTGTTCAATTCACATATGGCCAATGCATAGAAGTTTCAATTAAATATCTACACACAGAGAGAATGCACAGATATTACCCATAAGCTGATCTAAGGACTGTGTAAGTAATTATTTTGTATAGTACATATGCTAAGGGAAACCTCTGCTGATCATTTTGTTTTTTCCACACACCAATATCCTAAAATTCAGACGTGTAAAATTGGCCATGTGTATTAATTATTTGCAGTATACATTTAGAAGTCATTTTAAAGATTTCTTGTTTGAGAAATATTCTATGAGCGTATCCTTTTACTCTACTCTTCTAATTTGTGATATACTTCCTTCTAAAACATGCTACTAGGATTATAGGTGTTATTGTAAGAAAGCTGATTAATTAAATACTTTTGGAACTAATTTCAGAGTGATGATTTGTCTTTCTTTTTCAAAAGGCACATTTCAGAAGAGTCTATTCAGGAATTAAAGACAATGTCACTTCAGTAAGAAATTTATTGTGTGTTCTTTTTCTTCATTATATTTGTTAGGAGCCACAATTTATTTCAGTAACTTGACTACTGAGCAGCCTTCACAAATAAGTTGCTGCTTTAAAAAATCATTTTGCTCTTTGCACTTTTCTGCATACATACTCATACTTGTTTAGGTGTCACAAGTCTATTCATATTCTTTGCTTATGTGTGCAGGATTATTCAGAACTTCAATGTAATGTAAATTAATGTTTTTGCCCTAAATGCCTGAAATCTCTACAAGTTTAGAGATCGAGTGCTCTTTATCTCCTTTACCTATTTATTGTGTGTGAAAAGTAAGAAATGTTCAGTTTTGATTTTAAATAAACCATTATATTTGAATCTGAGAAAACCAATTTTAGACAATAAAGCAGAGATCTTAACTCTGTTTGATTCTGATTTGTTTTCACTAAGCATAGTCCAAACAAGTGAAAATTCCTGAGTTTAAACTGTGGCGATCCATGGTATATTTAAATTGAAAGGTTATCATCTGTTCTTTTGAGGATACAACCAAAATTGGAATATTGGTGCATCCATGTAGTAGAAAAGTCTAGTTCCCTTTTACATCTGACATGTTGCCAAATATGTATGAAATGCAATCCTAAACTTGGAAATAGACTAGTCTCAGTTGAAGCAATCTTTGGCTATTTTTTTTTAAACACCTTTAATTAGGTCAGATGCTTCACTGCAAATGAAATACAGTATAACTTTTCAATCATTGCTAAGTCACTGGCATCTTCTGACAATTAAAGTACTCCAGGGTACTTGGTGCTCTCTGAGCTCGTTTGTTTTTTGCAGACATTTCATTACCCAACTAGGTAACATCATCAATGTTCGAAGGGAGACTGATAATATTACTAGTTGGGTAATGAAATGTATGCAATAAAACAAGATGTTTAGAGAGCACCAAAGACTCTTCAGTTTAGCCTTAGTTACTCTTCTATTGATATTTAAAGTACCTTAATAGAGAATGTAATGCAGAATTTATGAATACAGGCTTACACGAAAGTGCACAACAAAGAATAAATATCTTTCAACAAAAAGCATAGCTTGTATGACACATGAAATATTCTGGAAAGGTTATTACATTTTTCAAGTCAGGAGGTTTTTCTGCCTATCTGTGAAGATCTGGGAAGAAAACAATCTTTCCAGATCTCTGCCCCTAGGAATATGTAGGGATCTCGATGCCATTTCTCTTTCCTGGAATGACATTCCCCTGAGGTAAGATCAGCTCCACTTCAACTGGTTTTGGAATTTTCAAAGGCAATTAAGACTTCCCTTTTTCAACAAGAGTTTGGAATTGGATGCATTTGAATTTGATTCTGTAAGGAGAGTGTTTGTATGTGTATTTCTAAGCTTAGGCTCTTTTTTGAAATATAAGATTTTAAATCCTATTGCTGTGTTAAGATAAGTCAAGAATTGGTTATGACTGGGACAGTATACAAATTCAGTTAATAATCAATCTATCAATCCAGTTCACATTTACAATTTTAGAGTCAAACTATGATTTTGATAAACTTGATACAGTACTTAAAATGTGAACTTGACTCTTTAGGACAAATATAGTCTGCCACTTTTGTTCCTGTATTTTTTTCTCTTTCAGGTAGCCCTGCTTAGAGAAAATGGTATATATATTATTGCCATTTATTAAAATCCCACTATCTATGCATAGTCATTACAATCTTCTTCACAAGACTACATAGTTGGTAATTTATCCATGAGAATTAAGGCATCAGGCTAGAAAACAGGAGATTGTGAGTTGTAGTCCCACTTTAGGCATGAAAGCCAGCTAGGTGGCTTTGAGACAGCCACTCTCTTTCAGCCCAACCCATTTAATTGAACTGCTGTTGTGGGAAAAATAGGAAGAGGAAGGAATATTAAGTATGTTCATCACTTTGAATTATTTATAAAAAAACAACTTGATCATTTTTTAACATTTTAAAATCATAACCATGTACATCTGGTGAGAAGTTGCAACTGTAATCCCCTTTGAAATGAAATGTTTTTTGGAAACAGAGGGTGCAAATAATACATCTGTTAATTACATATGAAGATGAACCCACTTGTTTCAAGAGCAAGAACATTAAAAAAATACTATTAAACTTTTATTTACAAAACTCACCTACATGGCCAGTTAACAATAACTCATTAAAGTAATTTGTTAAATTCATTTGACATTTGAAAATACAAAGAAAATAAAAGGTTGCAAGGTTCAAGATTTTTCTGGAACCTCCTGTCCTTTGTCTCTGGGTCTTCTGCAAAAGGAGCAGATCCATTAGAATTAGATAACTATTCTTCACAAAATCAGTATCAATAGTTGGGAGCAGTCAGGGCAGGTACGTTTTCTTATAAGGAATTATTATTTATTGAAAAAACTATCCATTTTTAAGGATATGAATTAGCAACTTCTGCAATGTAACACTATACAATGAAATATTTGGTAAGGAGTCTCTGTGAGGCATGGACTCAGATAAGCAAATGTTCACACTAAGAAACGAATTTGTCTCCTGCAAACACCACTCCCCTTTTGTTCCTATTTATTTCCTATGGGAGTGCCATTCAGTGTCCACTTGTGCCTTTACTCCCAAGTTGACCTCTTTTCCTTAATTGTTCCCTTCTCCTGATAGCTCTGCACATGTGCACATCGGGAACAGGCTCCAGCTGTTCTTCTGCCTCACTTATTTATGACTCCAAAGGTAGCTGATAACTGTTGAATGGTCCTGGCCCCTTCTCTGCCTCTGACACAGAGCACTCATCAGAGCCTTCACCAGACTCCAGGACTGGACCAGGTTCCTCCCCAACTCCTCATTGTCCGAGTCTGCCCCCAGCTCAGCTGGCTGCTGGCGGGCCACGACATGCTTCTGAATGACACATCATAGTTTATGGTACTGCACTTGACATCTGTCACCTAAGCATTTTTAAAA